CACTGCTAGTCACCACCCACCAATTAACCTCTAATTACATGCCCAGACATTGTCGAAGCATCTGCACAAGAAGCCTACATGTCAACCGGAGACCGAGCACTTCGGTCCAATCAATCGTCGGGAAAATCTAAAATTCTATTAAATAATCTTACTTCTGTACTTAAGATTATCCGTTTAACCTTGGGACATTTCAGTTCCATGGTCTTATTCGTATATATTAACACCATTCCGACTAACCAACTGTATATAAGTTTGTTTGTATACTTGTTTGGAGTCACTAACTTTATACAATTGTCATATATATTTGAAGATCCTTATATCTTTTCTATACTTGTCTATCAGGAGTATATTTATTATACAAGTTCATTGTTTTCTCCTTGTCGATTTATTTTCATAGATTATATTCATATTTATTATATCACATTCTTTTCTAGTTTACATAATTATTGTTTATGTCTATTCAATGTTTTCACTTATATTTTAGTGTCTTATGACGTAGAATATAAAAAAAAATTGAACCATAATATATTATATTATATTTTGATCAGTATACAATTACATCTAGCAGCCATATAACAGTCGTTATCGTCTAGTGGTCGAATCTGTCTAATGTTAATGAGCTAGGATATATATATATATATATATATATGCACTGAACACAAAAATTGCGAGGTTATTTGTCTTATAATAGACTTTGTCATCAATCCTTATCATCATCTAAAAAAGTTGTCGAAAGTGAAGGAATCCTGGGAAGTTGTTTTATTATTTTTGATGTAGCTGTGAACTCTTTATCAGTATGTACACCTACTACTGTTTGAAGTCTTGAACTCGAATTATTATTATTATTGTTTCCTTTAATTCCTAGAGGAACATAGGGCTTCAGCCGTGCGTCTCCATTGCGTTCGGTTCTCTGCTAGAGTCTTTACCTGGCTCCAAGTCTGCCCACACGCTTTCATCTCCTCTTCACATGACCTCCTCCAAGTCACCCTTGCACTGACGACCAACTCGCCGCTTCCCTTTCGGGTTCCACTCGAGCAATGGCTTGTCTAGTGATGTCACTTGATGGTTTCCTCAGAGTGTGGTCAGTCCATCTCGATTTCTTCCTGCCTATTTGTTTCACAATCGGTTCCTGGTCGGTTGGTTCGCTCATTGCCAGAGATCTCTGTTGCTAATCTTTTCTGGCCGGCCATCTGATCTTGAGTATCGATTGAGCGAAGAAAACTGTTAATGAAGGTCTGTAGTTTGTTTGAGATGCTCTTTATGACGCACTGGCCAAGTCTCTGATCCGAGCAGTGAGTAGCACTGACTTCACATTGGAGTTGAAAATCTGGATCTTATTTTCATGTTGAGTGCTGTTGACCTCCACACAGACTTGCGAGCAGTGAAAGCTTGTCTTTCTTTTCCGATTCTTGCTTTGATATCCTCGTCAGTTCCGTTCGCCTGTGGTTGAAACGATGCTTCTCAGATAGGTAGGTAAAAGAGGTTTCTTTCAGGTTCCTTTCATTTATGCTGATTGTTGTCTGTTGTTGTTGTTGTTGCTGTTGGTGGTGTTGACCAGGAATCTTCATCACCTCTGTTTTCTCTATGTTCACCTGAAGTCCTATCTTTGATGCTTTTTCTATCACCAACTTGTTGCTTCTCGCTTGCATATCTTCCAGTTTGTGGGAAATCAGACATATGTATCATCGGCGAAGTCCAGATCCTCCAAATGCCTTCATGTTATTTGATGATTATGTTACCTTTTAGTCAGAATCCCAGTGGATTGTCCGGGGTTTAGTTTTGCTTACAAATATTGTCAAACGAATGATGATGATCCTAATAATTATATGTGATATTCAATGAAATCTGTTTTGTCTCCATAATAGAAGTCCACTATGAAATAACTGTAAGCAGAGGAAAAAAGCAAACAAACAAAGGATGAAAGAGGAAACTATTCATCATCATTGTTATTATTGTCATCAGGCGGCTTGTTTAAGTCACTACACTACCTAAATTTTCATTCAGTATATATAACATGCATATACTCTTCTCTTCTCTTCTCTCTTATTTCTTATTATTTTATTCATCTAATTATTATATATCTTTTTTGAAACGCTACATGAACTCGCACACATAATGTAGAGTACTTCTTAAAGGAAAATGAGGGTAAAATATCATAGATGATAGGATATTGCGTCAGATGGAACAAAAACAACAACAACAACAAAGCATCCCTGGATGTACTAATATCTAATACTATTTTACTTGTATGCAGAGTAGATATTTATCTAATTTAAATATGCTGAAAATTGTGTAGTGTTAACATATTATCTAGAATAAAGCCATTATTATTATTATTATTATGTATAATCACGTAGAGAAATAATACCATCGTTTACCATTGGTTAAAAGTATATTGATAATTTTAAACAAATTATAATAGCTGTATTATTATTATTATTATGATGTTGATGAGGATCAATAATATTGTTATTGAAAGCTTCCATTTCCCGATACGGATAGTTGAGAAACAAAAGACAAGAGGAGGTGAATAGACTCTTATTATCTAGTGAATTCATACATTTATACTGTAATGTAATATAATCAATAGTGTAGACTTCCGCTGAATTCATTAAAAGTGACTTAAATAACTCTTGTTTCTTATCATGCATATATTTGGAGGGGTTATCAATGGACGATTGAAAAATTTTTAAGTATTGGTTTTGTAGGGATTTAGTCTGATTAGATGGAGGTTTTGATCATGAGCTGATATCAGTTAGAGAACCACTGGAAAACCTGGGAGTACTGGACAGCTGTTTCGTCCTAGTTTGGGACTCTTCATCAGTATGCACTCACCTCCAGAGTTCGAACCCAGGACCTCCTGGTTACAATGCGAGCTCGTAGACCATTGGATCGGGTCCCAGTGGCTCAAAGGTCTACGAGCTCGCCTTGTAACCAGAAGGTCCTGGGTTCGAACTCTGGAGGTGAGTGCATACTGATGAAGAGCCCCAAACTAGGACGAAACGGCTGTCCAGTACTCTCAGGTTTTCTAGTGGTTCTCTGAATGATGTCAGCTCATGATAAAATCCTCTATCCGATTGAAAAATTATCAAAAACATATATATGATATAGCCCTTTTCTAGTTATTTGAAAGTGACAGTGATCTTGTATATTATATACATATAATTATTATTCTCGTCTATTCCTCCTAGAATAATAAACTATTAGTTCTGAGTATTGTAAATAAACTCATAAGTATAAACTACCGTTTTAATTTAATTGTAGTCATTATCTTCGTAAGTTTCATTTGATAAGTGAAAAGAGATTTCCATAAACAGTCAAAAGTGAAGTAGTTTACTAAACTAAAGATAATAATATTAATAACAGTTTTTATTCTGGAGAAAATGTTTACACAATGTACAAAATTTTCGTCTTAATTTGTTGCATAATATTTTCTCTTCATTTAGGATTTTCGCCAGCCTGCTTAAAACTTGAGCTATCAAAAACTTTCATCTCTCCATTGCATATATTTTCTCTCATTCGGTTTGATTAAGATATGATCTTTAATGATATTTATGCATACTCTTGTGGGTATTTAAAATGTTTACAACCTTCGGATTTGCAAGTTCCTACTAAACTTGAGGAATGGCCTGATTGTAGGTGACAACGTGTTCGAATACATGAGATAACTGTTCTTCAATTATGTCCTTGAGTCTCGAAATGTACTTCTGAAGATCTTACAAGTGGCTCTCAACCAGATATTGTGGATTTCTTAAAGGAGACAAAGCAGATATATCATAATGGAATGGTTTGCACTTCAGCTCAGAGGGCATTGTGTCACAGGGTATACTGTCAGTTAATATTTTACTTGAAGATATTGTACGAAGGGAAAATATGATGCAATCAACTTCTCTGAAAATTCTGTACATTTTGTGAATACTGTCCAGAAAAAGATGTTATTATTACTATTCAAGTAAAATAGCAATTTGTAGTATATTATGTAACGTAGTGCTGTTCAATCTGAAGCATAAACTAATTCCTTATGACATTTTTCCTTGATGTCTGAGAAATGCGAACCGGTATTTTGAAAACCAGTTAAAGATTGTTCATGACTACATTTTGCGACTCAAGGACATACATATTTGGATTTATGAAAATATATACTGGTAACTGGATGTCTTTATTCCCTCTTTCATCTGATTACATGATCTTTGACTTTAACCTCACCCCCTCTTTACATAATGTAATTTTGCTTGTCTTTTGTCTCTATGATTTGAGTCGAACTCAGTTCATTGTTACCTAATTTATTAGTCACTCGTCATCGTACTCACCTCTCGTCTTTATTGCGTAACTCCTTTACCATCATATGCATGTATTTACTTTGTTTAAACTTTAACTGCCTGTGTGAAAACTGTATAAGCGTAATTTGCTTAGCACTGTTCACTAATTCCGGAACCTTCTGTCAACTGACATCATGTGAAATTTGCAAGTGTACTAAGACTTTTCTGTACATGAACTTAATAATAATTTATTTAGGCTGTACGCAGCTGATGAGAAGCCAACAAAATAAATGATGGTACCATATTATTCTGCACAAACCACTGTTGTTCTTGCTTTATTCAAAGATATGATGCATTGTGTTGGATGGGAGGAATATTCAGTTCGCCGAATAATGATTCCAACAGGCTGTCAAAATTCATCGTTGAACCATTTATTTTTATTCCCCTTAACTATGTATTGTTCTAGGCATCTACGAAATATTTTTTTGCAGATATTAAATTTATAGAAGTTATATTTTTGATTGTCGCACTTACATTTACATTAACTAATGTGTGATAACCACTACCTAAGTGCTAAATTTGGTTTTATAAGGAAGAAATGAATGTTCAATTTTATAAACTCTAACAGGAAATAAGTTTGTTGGTTGATTTTATTTACTTCATGATGAAATTATTTTAAAAAAAATTTATTTCTGTTTAAATTTGTTATTTTGCTGTTTCTTTCTTTTCTTTTTTGATTAGGTTTTTAAAAGACTCAGGATTAACTCAAATGCCTTTGTCAAATAGCATTTCTGATTCAGAGAGTCAATTTAATGGTACATCTAACAACGAAGAGATTAGTGTAGAACAGAAAGATGATAATGATACTACTACTACTACTACTACTACTACTACTAATGATGATAGTAATAATACTGTCTGTGCACCTGAAGATCTTTCAAATTGTAGTAAGGCATCAGTTGTTGCCTCGACATCACCATCGTCGGTATCATGTAAAACCAGAAATTCGAAAGGAGCAGTTAACAGCTGTTCGATTCCGATGAATAACAAAAGAAATCAAGACAACCCTTCAACACATAATGATATCCATGCGGCTATTCCTAAATCATCATCAACTGCACCACCATCCCCAGTATCATCGTCGTCGAATTTATCCTTAAAATCTTCAGTTTTACAGTTCAATACATGTTCACATGTATCAGATTCATCTAATCGTATTCCAGCTCCAAATGTTAATGCTGTTAATTTATCACAGGTAATCACAGTTTTCTTTGCATTGGTTATTGGAAGACGCGTAGACTGTAATACATGAGAGTTGAGTATCTATTCGAAACTCTGTATGTTAGCAGTAATTAGTGAACTTCGGCTGGTGGTACATCCCAAGCTCGACAGTTAGCTGCTACCTTGACTTGGTGGTCGGACTTGCATACTGCAATGACTCAACAAGCTACACTGGCCGAAACTAATATTACTGCGGGTTACTACCATGCCAGAAACGTTGTTTGGATAGTGGTTAAACTTACCATCATAGTGTAAGTTGTTTACTTTAAGTTGGGGGGTCTGTGACAGCAATAAGGTGTTCCCTTCAGATGACTAGCAAGTCAGCTATGCTGCCTCTCAGCTCTGAAGAGGGGCGATTTTATATTTCGTAAGGTTTAGTTGAGTTGATAGAGACGCCCGAGCTATCAACAGACATAGTGATCACGAGTGTTGCTTGTCAGCCACCAACTCTGTACAACGGTTACTTGATTTCCCAGCCCACTAGTTGATCGACAACACACCACACAAGGAGGTGAGTCGAAAAAGTATGTTTATACAAAGAATCAATTATATATATTCAAAACAAAGAATACTACCCGGGCCAGTGACGTCGGCAGTATAACGGATAAATCCATTAGCTGTCTCTGGCTATCTATAAGACAACTCTGATTGATCCAGTTCCCAGACAGGATATCGACCCACATACCAGGGGGTTAGAAAAAGTTCGACCCCGAAAACTGTACATCCCGACTTACCTTGGGGCGGTCCGTAGCTGGTGGTGGTGAGTTCATAATACGGACGCAACTCTAAAACCCACTTCAAGTAGGCTATGTATGAGCGACCTACAGCAGTTGTTCATTGGACCCTGCGATCACGCAACACTAATGCTGCTTCTTTTTCAGGAGCTTCAAGAAGAAACCAACTCTCATAGTGTGGAAAGGCAGGAAGTAATTACCGTTCACACACTCCCATAAGCACACAAAGCTTCCCTGACACTACAGGCAGTAATAAATGATTCATATGTGACTATGTTGAATATTCTTTACGATATATAGTTCGTCTTCTCATATGTACCAAAATGTAACCATGGTAACTTTAATTTTGCGCGGTGTACTATAGATTCCAACCTATGAATCATTATTCTTAGTTGTATAAAACCATATGGAATCTTGGTGTTTGTTATGTAAACCAAGTCAAATTTTATTTGTTGAAATGAACGCCAATGTGTGTTGTTTTTCCAAAAGCATTACTGAAGATCTTAACATGTGTTTATTCACTAGACTTTATTTATGTGACTACATCTAATGAGTTTGCACAATTTATCTGACATGAGTAATTGTTTCGTTTTATCGACCGTTCGATATAAACTGACTCAAGGGTTATAAAAAGATTTTTTTGGATTGTTAATAAGTTGAAACTCACAAATTCAGTGAAAATAATTTGTTTACAAAATATTTGAGTGAAATAAGAGCAAACATTTCCTTCACGTTCTCCAGTGGAACATAGGGCTTCAAGCTAGTGGCTTGAGGTTTCTGTAGCAGTGTTTATTTTGCAGGATGGGTTTGCTAACCTCATGCCCAACCTTTCCTCTTCACCATCATTATTTCTGGCTTAGCGAGGTACAGGAGTGAGTCGGCCGAGGATCGAACCTCGGACCATGTGCATGGTCGGCGAGCGTCCTAACCGCTATGCTACCGACGCACGCAGGTAGTATACAGTGAATCTATTGTATTTCATCGATTCTCATTGGCTGTGTTCAACCTACACCTAACATTTTAAATAAGATTATTTCTTTATGACATTTGAGAATAACTCATTCATCTTTACTCTATTTGAATGCAATTATTTTTCCCATTGGCTATGTCATTGTTTGGTTACTCTTTACAAACTTATTCACCTTTATTTCTATCGAGTGAATTGGAGTATGCTAGAACTTTATGCCTATTTACTGTTAGAAATACTATGCGTCGCAGATAATAGCATGGAGAACCCTATGAAATCAAATGCATATTCGTACTCCACAGCTCTACTGTGTAGTTCTGCTCCTTCTAACTTTATAAAGACGAACCACATGTGTATGAATTTCACCTTTAAAAATCTAATCAAAATCAATCTTTCTGATTATGTAGTGTTATCGATATGTGTTTTGTGAAGTTCGTCAGCATTTTTTTTACAACTTCATTACTTTTTACTGGGTACTTATTCCTTAATTTGATCCTTTTTTTGTTGAATTGAAAAAAAAGGATTTACCAATGAATTTAAGTGCTAAACCTCAAGAACCGATTGCTTTAATAAGATATGTTGTTGATCCATCAACTTATGCCAAAATGAATGGTATTCAACCAGCGAATTATCTTAATCATCATCATCACCATACAGACAATTTATATGATAAACAAATTCCAAGCAACTGTCTTCCATCAGCAGAAGTGATTGTTCAAACAGCTGTTGAAGCTGCTCGTAGTCTAGCATCGGATAAGCCGAATTTAAGGCAACAAACAAATAAATCGAATCATTCTACTCCAGATTCAAGTGAGTACACCTTCTTTTTACTTCAGGTCAACACAATTTTCTGTTTTTGTTGTTGTTGAATATTACTAGATACAGTGTTTATAACTAAAAGTTTTCTTTCATCGATTGAGTAGTAATCATTTAAAATCAGAGAGTAGATGGGTAGAAATTGTTACATTTCTCAATTGCACAAGATCAACAGAAATAGAAAAATATGCTAAACACGAAATATGATATAATTGAGGCGTATTTTTGTTTGAATTGTAATGTTGATTGTGTTAGACTGCTTTGGATAACAGAAATAGTGATGATAGTAATAATGATAATGGTGTACTATTATTATTCTCTTGGGTTCCTAGTGGAACACAGGACTTCAGGAGCATATCTCTATTCCACCCTTTTCCCTGCAGTCACTTTTAGCTGGTCATGCTACTGCTCAGAAGCTTTGTTCTTCTCCTGCTCTCCACACGATATCCCCCTTGTCAATTTTGAACCCATGTCCAATTTGTCTTTTCCCATTCTGGTCCCACTCAACCGATAGCCTGGCTGGTGTGTGATGTCCTCTCATTGTGTGTCCAATCCATGTCCATTTCCTTCAACACAATTGTTGATCGATAGGTTCTTGGTTGATTGCTAGAGTTCTTTGTTGCTAATACTTTCTAGCCGGTCATCTGATCTGCATTATGGAGTCAACGAAGCCAGCTGTTGATGAAAGTCTGCAGATGCCTGTTGGAAATGCTTTTTGTGATGCACCAAGTCTCTGAACTATAAATGTCTCTGTCAAATAAGTCAGTCAAAATGAGGAGAACAGAAGCATATCGTTTTAGGTTGGATTAGGTTCGGTCTCTCGGTTGGTCTATGAACTCTTGAGTAGTCCAGAACTCAGGCGAAATAACTGTCCTTTACTGATTGGTTCTAAATAATTCTTCGGCTGATATTGGTTCTTAACGAAGTGTACATTTAAATGAATTACACTATTACAAGCCAGAAATCTGAATATTACTAGCTGCGATATGACTCATTTCAAACTTTTTAAGTCAAATAATTCATTTGATTAGTCCATAATTTGTTATTATTATTACGGAGAGTAATTACATAACTCACGACAACGGCACATGTCAAGTGATCCACAACGGAAAACTCAGCGAGGCGTTTGGAATAAACACAGGAGTCAGACAAGGGTGCTTATTATCACCAATGATATTCCTAATTGTGGTGGACTGGATTATGCGTCAGACAGTGGGAGACGAGAAGACAGGGATATCCTGGACCGACGTGAAGAACCTAGAAGACCTGGATTTCGCGCGTGGATGATTTATGTTTGATGTCACACAGAATCGAAGACTTACAGGCGAAAACGAACAAACTGGCCGAAGAAGCAGCAAAGACAGGACTCCAGGTGAACATAGACAAGACGGAGGTTATGAAAATAACCAACCAACAACAGTAGCAAAATCCAGTGCTAATCACCATCAATGGGAGGGATTTGAAAGAGGTTGCTTCATTCACTTGTCTAGGGAGCATTGTCTCAACTACAGAAGGAACGGACGAGGATGTCAAATCGAGAATCGGGAAGGTGAGAAACACATTCATCAACCTGAAACCAATCTGGAAATCTTCGTCACTCAACTCAGCATCAACAACAAAATTCGGATTTTCAATACAAACGTCAAGTCAGTCAGTTCTTCTATACGGATCAGAAACTTGACGGCGGGTCACAAAGAATATTTCCAACAGCCTGTTGCAGACCTTTATCAACAACTGTCTTCGCTCTATACTGAAGATCAGATGGCCGGAAAGAATCACCAACAAGAAACTATGGGAACAAACAAAACAAGAATCAATCGCCTAACAAATATGCAGGAGGAAGTGGAGATGGATTGGACACTCACTGAGGAGGCCGCTTGGTGACATCGCGCGTCAGGCCATAGCTCGAGTGGAACCCGAAAGGGAAGCGGCGAGTGGGACGTCGAAGGGTGACATGGAGGAGATCGTGTGAAGAAGAGTTGAAACAGTATGGACTAACACGGATGCAGGTGAAAAGTGCAGCAGAAGACAGAAGCAAGTGGAGGCGTGCAGTTGAAGCCCTATGTTCCACTAGGAATCCAAGGGAACAATAATCATAATAATAATGATAATAATAATATTAAACTATGGATGATATTATATACGTGAAGGAATAATAGTAACACCTAAAGTTTTAAAATAAATGAAGAGAGAGAGAGAGGTCTCAACTCAGATTCCGTGAAGTAAGAATCAGATTTTGAGTTCAATCAATCCAACTAGTTCTATACTTACAACATAAACTAGGCTATGAAGAATTGAAATTATTTGCATGTTAATTATAATTTTAATTTTTTTCCCTATGTTCTGTTACTTTTGGACAAATAACTAAGAAGTTTATACTTATACTTGTATACATACAGACAGACATATTCAGCTGACAAGTTCTATAGAGAAAGAAGTGCGATTCTTGGATTCCACACTGCCAGCCACTAGTAAACAAATGATTAGACAGTATTTACAACTTTACTCTGACTTAATGTTAGCTTAAGAATTAGTTAGTTGCAGCTAGTTAGGATTATTAATCATAATTCATTATCACACAAATGATTGATTTTGTTCCCTCGTACTACTGTTATTATTATTATTTATAATTGTTATCATTGATTTTTATTGTTATTAGAATACTTTGAGAAGACATCTAGTCCAGGTAGCATATCTGGTGCAACAAAACACACTGATATTCGCAAGAGAAATTGTAATACTTCCAATGATTTTGAAGAACAACACTTCCCCAAAGCCTTACGTACTTCTACACCCAATCATCTAGAAAATAAACAGAATGATAAACCATGTCTACTTCCACGTCCTGCCAGTAATAGCAGTAGTTGTGGTAGTGCCATCATTTGTACAGAAGATTCTTCATCGAATAAATTAAATAAGGATACGAAACAGAATAATAAGCTGGAGACAACACCTGTTACACCAACTACTGTTTCAAGTAAAACAGAATCACCTCCACGACAAAATCATGGAGTTAAATCTCATAATTGTCTAAAAGATCCTCGCCCATACAAATGTAATACATGTGATGTTGGCTTTCGTGTTACCGGACATTTATATAAACATTATCGATCTAAAACACATATGTCAAATATTCTACAAATGGCTCAATTATCAAGCAGTACAATTGAACGTGTTCTCCAGTGTCATAATGGTAATCCTCAACTTATTAATCCAGATACTGGTGAATTGATTATGACAACACTGGAGAAATTAATTCCAACTTGTGAAATTCCTACAACAGTACCAGTTAATACAGTAACAAATGGGCATAACTGAAATATACATATATTCATTTCTCAATATTGCTATTTGTGATCAAAAACCAACAATCTTTCTTTTTTTTTGTACATATGATTGAAGTTTTTAAAATAAACAACCGATACCTATTTTTTGCCCCCAGCCTCTACTGTTTTATTAAAATGACTAACTGACTGGTTTCAACATAGAATTTTGCACCCATGTGCAGCAGTTCGAGTCGCCACACTTCACTTAGCACACAAAGCCAGAGAAGAGGAAGAAAGTAAAAAGAAATGCAAAATAGAGACAGTAAACAGAGATATGAGGCAAAAAAGAATAGTGATATCGAAGAACAATAAAGTTTTATTGGGTATTATAAGTCACAAGAAGTGGATGCATCTACTCCAGACATTGAGAACGACTGTTTTGAGCCATATCACCAATTGTCTCCAGTCTTCATTGGTTTTTACTATTCCGAGGAACCCAACCAGTCAGTCAGGAAGACTACACCTCCTTACGTCAATGGCTGGCTGGCTTCAACTAACTGTTGTGGATTTCGTTGACTGATGAAGCCATGTTTGGTTTGACCACCACTAGCTAACTCTTTTCCAACCTTATCCATCCTATGTCAGTCAGCTAACATTTCCCGTTGGTCGAAGAAGGCGATGGCATGGATGGCTAGGCATGCATACGTAAGACATTTCCCAACCATCTCAATCGATGTAACTTCACAGCCTCGTTGATTGATTTCCCCTCCTTACCCAGCACTCGACTGACTCCTAACCTCAATATTGCTCACCCTAATACTCCACTTCACACAGGAGATAGAACACAAGCACCTATGATCAAAGATAGCCAGCCAGGCTTATCATGTCTTTCACTTCCAGTGGCCAGGTCTCATAGCTATAAAGGAGGACGGGGCGGACTGTTGAGCAGTACACGTGCCTTTTGGTCGGCAGCCGGCCGTATATCACGTCTACGCCAGAGACGGCGTAAACTGGCACATACGAAACAAGCCTTCTGTATCTTACATTTGACGAGAGCGAATTGCATGCCAAATATTCGCAGATTGCAACTCAAGGTGTTCAGAAGACACTGCATTTTGTCAGCGTCTTCACCTAGGAGGAAGGACTATATCATCTGCATATTCTAAGTCAACGAGATTATTCCCTGGTGGCAAGTCAATCCCTGAGTCTCTGAAGTGAGTTAGGCTTAAGTTCATTAGTACATCTATGATGAAATTGAATAAAAACGGGGATAGTGGGCATCCATGTCAGACACCACTAGTTGTCACCACTTTAGATGACAACTCGTCGTAAGCTCTTACCTGGCTGGCTGCATGAGTTCGAGTAGAGTGCCTTGACTAGTGCAGTGGCAATGCATTTTCTCGGCATCCCCTTCACAGCCATAGTGACTCTCGATTGACGGAATCGAATGCCGCTTTCATGTAAAGAAATATGACCACTGTTGGACGCCAATAAGCATACCTATGTTCCAGAATCTGTCGGAGGGTGAATATATGATCAATACACCATTTTCCTGGTCCAAAGACTGTCTTATTCTCTCGTGTTTGTCCCTCCCGTGGACCGCTTAGTCTATGCATTATTACTGAGCCTAGAACTTTAGATACCATATTAGTCAAGCTAATCCCTCTGTGATTATCACAAGAAGACTTGTCTTCCTTCTTGTATATCGGGATAATTAATGACTTACACCAACCCGACAAGACTTTCTCTGATTCTCAGACACTGCCCAATTCCTTAGTTAACGCAGACAGTAAACTGTCTCCGCCGTCCTCGAGCATCTCTGGAATCATTCCATCAGATCCTGCTGCTTTACCTGGTTTCAGACTAGTGACAGCCTTAGTAACCTCAGTTAGGGACGGAGGACCTTTGTCTATATCCCATTCAGGGAGGTGTGGCTGAAGGCCAATTAAACTGCTCCTCATAGTACTCTTTCCAGCGTTCCAGTCGTCTATCCTGGGAGCTAATTATGGTGCTATTTTTCTCCGAGATTGTTTCACTTATCATTTGCCTTTTACCACCTGATTTCCTGATAAGCCTAAATAGTTGTCTGGTGTTGCCAATCGCCGATGCCTTTTCTATCTTGTCGCCCACCACTGTTCACCGTAGTTGTGAAGACTTCTTGTTAGTTTGCGTTCGAGTAGCTTTCGCTCCTCATCATAATCGGAGCTCGCCGGAATCAGTCTTGCGTCAATCAGTTCGGATGAGGCGGTAGAAATCCAATGGCTCTTACTTACTTTAGATTTCAGGTTATTAACAACTTTTACAATTGCTTTTACACCACACAGCTAACTGTCTGTTGTGGTTTCGACCTCAGAAACTCGTTTCGCTATTTCTTCCTTAAATAGGGACTCAGAGTCTCGATCTAGTTGGGGACGCAGCTGCTTCGCTGCCAACAATTTTTATGTCCGTTTAATCGTAAGCATAAACATGCGCGAACCAGAGCGTGATCAGAGTCTGCGCACGTGTTCCAGAAGGAGCGGCAGTCTTTTACTGACCCTCGCCAACGATAGCCTATTGCTATGGGATCTATATGAGTTCAATGTTGATTTGGTGATGGAGGTTGCCAGGTTGCGCAATGTCTCTCTTTGTGCCTAAAGTTAGTGGTGACTATGAGCAGGTGATTATCTGAAGAGAACTGTAGAAGACGATCACCATTGTCGGTTCGTTGGTAGGGAACTCCGTACGTACCGCCTATATACTTATCAGTCTGGCACAACTTCCCCACTTGGACATTGAAGTCGCATGCTAAAACAGCTATATCTGAACTTTTGCTTTTTGCGGGCAATTAGACAGTTTCAGGTAGAAGTCATCCTTTAGTTCATCCGAACTGCAGTCTGTTGGGGTGTAAGCGGAGACTGGGAAAAGACAACGATGGGTAACGCCGTCCTTCCTTCTTCTAACGGACCCTTTCAGACGGACTGCACACATACGACTATTTACTGAGATCCAGTCAAGAAGTGATTTTTCTGCCCTAACACTCAATGCTATCCCTACACCTGCGAGTCCTCGCGAACTAGATGAGGGGTCTCCTGAAACCATTAAAGTGAATTTTGCAGATTCACCTTATTGGCCTGGTGAGGTTAAGTGAATGTCCACACTTGAGCATCCACGGCTCGAAATGCTAGAGTTCTTGCTAGTGATAGCTGTTGTCCGATTTGTCAGAGGGTCCTGACGTTGAATGCTCCTGTTTGAAATGGGCGACGTGGCTTTAAGAGGCTGTCGGGGGTGTTTCTATGGCTGTCATCGTTGTTTGTTGTCATAGAGTGAACTGAAGATGACTCACTAGCCTGCAGAACAGTACTGACTGTAGTAGGGAAGAAAGATGAGGAAGGTGATGTGGGTAAAGGAGAATGATGCTCAGAAAGGCTTCGTGTGCTTTGGGAAGTGTGTGGGCGGTTGTTACTTCTCGGCTGCCCACACCGTGGAAGTTGATTGATTCTTCGGATACCTGAAACAGAAAGAGGGTTAGTGTTACGTGACCACAGAGCCCAGGGGACAACTGCTTGAGGCTGGTCACACACGGCCTGTATGAACTGGTTTCTTGGTTCGGTTCCGTATTAGTAAACTTATCGCCAGTTATGGACCACCGTAGGGTAAGTTCGGATGTACAATTTTCGGGGTCGACCTTCTCTAACCCCCCCCTCCGGAGTGGAGACAGCATAGCTGGCATGCTGGAAACACCTCACTGCTGTCAAATCCCTGTTCCCCAGCAGGACGACTTCGCTCACGGACCCCCAGAATAAGGTAAATCAAAAAGGTTCTTACACTATGCCGGTAACTGCTTTTAGTCTAGTCGCTATCCTAACAACGTTCCTGGCATGGTAAGACCTGCAGGAACAATAGTTCCAGCCAATGTAGCTTGTTGGGTCATTGCGATGTGCAAGCCCGACCACCACGTCAAGGTAGCAGCTATGAATCGGGGTCTTATCAAAATATCTAAGTGAATTAAATAAACTGTTATATTTTGTGTCATCTGAAGTAAATAAAATTAAGTACTACGAGGAGTGAGACTGACAGAATTAAAATTTACCCTAAAAAGAAACGAATAAGTCGGTAGTAGCACTATTCCATAAATATTTAGGCATGTTATCTAAAGCTTCCGACTAGCGATCTCTAGCTCTATTGTATTCAGAATCCAACAAAAAATGACCATTGTTTGCCTATTCTAAATTATTATTTGCTCAGCTCAACTCCTTCCTTGCACTGCTTAACGATCCAATTACTGATCTATTTGTTGTAAAATCGATCATCTATGAAGAATGTGTTATAACTGGTTGTGGTCACGTTATTTGAAATAATAATGATCAGCACGTATATATATGACCTTGACCTCTACAATCTTTTCTGGAGTGACATTACTCATTGTTCTTATCATATTAGTCAGTCTGTAATTTGTTGATGAAATAATGTATAGCATAGTATCTTCGATGTGTATTGATTGGTTCTTACTTAATGCAAGTAGAAATTTATAGCTTCGTTAAGTATTTTGGCACAAAATATGTCACATTCTAACAAGTTCAAAGGATTAACTGTAAACTGTCAGACCATTTAATGTCTCTTTGTGAGAAGTTTGTACATTGTAGAATTAACAAACTTCCAGCAGTTGCTATGATCACGAAATTTTGATCAAAATATTGCCAAAATAAAAAACTTATCACATTGTGAGTGGACAATTATTGTTATATAATTATTATTAATTATCAAGCCATTTCTTCGAATCAGTTTATATTAGATAAGTTACAATTATGGCTGATATGCAGATCCTTTGAACGAAATGTCTAGGTTTTGAAATAATCAATTCTGTATCTTATTTATTAGGATACAAATACAGTCAACTGATAAGTTTCAAAGAGGATTAAGTATGTAATGACAGAAGGCAAGAGACAGGCAACAGATCGTTTATTAAGGAAAATCAACACATATTTATAGAATTTAATGTACATTATTGTAGATTATTGTTAGTAGAAAATACGGTCTTTTGATTGGTTGTTTCTCACAGAAAGTTAACCTTGCATCTCTTTGTGGCTGTATCAGATCATCTATATGCTAACTGCATCCGCCTACGCAAAGTCTGCTGTCCATCTTTGACCTGGTTTTCACATGACCAATATTGGGGACATAAACATTGACGTCAA